TCGTCCCCAGCCTGCGCCTCTGCCCCATGGGACAGGTCTCAGTCCAGCGTCACCCTGCCCAGGCGTCCTGCACGGAAATCCCGCAGGAACTCGTAGGCAGCGGCTGGGTAGTTGAGCATCGTCACGTTGACATTCCCTGGAGAGAGGGGTTGTGGGTGCGGAAGGAGGTGTCAGCAGAGCTGCCCCAGGATCCCCAAAAGCCTGGCCCCCACACCCCCACTGAGCACTCACCTGTGCCCGTCAGCACCTTCACCTTCTGTGTCCTGCCCAGGGTGAGGGCCACGCGCCTCAGCACGGGCTCGATGTCGTCGCAGGCCTTGGCCAGCCCGTAGCGCTGCACATACCTGCCGAAGGAGGTGGCTCACACCTGCCAGCATTGCTTCTCTCCCTCTCGCAATTCCCCAGGGATGGATTCTCCACCGTCCACTCTGGACCGCAGGCAGTGGACGCAGCCTGGGGCCCTCTGCAGTTCCCCCACCGGCTCACCTGAACTGCTGCCGCTTGTTCAGGGCATACAGGAGGTAGTCAGCCATGATGTCCTCCCCCACCAGGTGGTCACGGATGGCCCCTGGAAAAGAGGGTCAAGCCCCAGCTCTGCCCTGAGCCCCAGCCACCCCTCCCCGCCATCCACATGCCATCTGTGAGCACCCAGGCAGCACACCCAGGCCTGCGGGGCCTGTGAGCAGCAGGTTCCCGCCCCAGCCTCAGGTACCAGGTCTAGCCAGGGCCCAAACCCATGCTTGGGGAGCGCCCCTGGCCACGGCCTCCACCTCACCACACAGCGCCAGCTTCATGCCCGCCTCCACATCCCCCAGCCTCGGGGGCAGCACGCCAGGTGTGTCCACCAGGTACATCAGGGGCTCCTCACTGACCTGGGATGGGGGGAGGCAGAGCAGTTAGGAGGCGTGGCTCAGTAATTAGCACCATGGACTCCAACACAGCTAACGAGCAAGGTGTTGAGCTTTCATTAAGGTCTTGCTGGAAAGGGGACCCAAGCAACCCTTTGGGACCACCTCTGCGTGCCTCGAGGTTTTCTGGACCTCCTGCAAGAGGAGGCAGAGGCCAGCACCCACACAGCCAGCTGCGCCGCGGGGACGGTACCTGGATCCTGGTCAGCACTGCCTTGGTGATGCCTGGCTCACCACCAACCGCGGTGGCTTTCCCTTCAGGGAAAGGAGAGACACAGTCAGAGATTCAAGTGGCGCTCTGCCCTGCTCCCCACTCCACGGCTGTGCCAGTGGCTCCTCCCTGAGCCCAGGTGCCACGAAGAAATACCCTTTTTGAGATGCAACCTCCGCAAGGAGTTGATGAGCGATGACTTGCCCACGTTGGGCACGCCGATCACCAGGATGTTGTACTCGGCGCTCTGGAAGCGAGGAGGACACAGGTAGGGAGCAGCTGGTTATTTGCCACCCAGCCCAGGAGCAACGGTCAGCCGCAACAGCAAAACAAGCCAGCCTTCGCCGGTGCTTCTGGTACGTGTGCGAGCAGCCTTGCCGCTCCAGCTGGAGAGGGAGGTGACCTGCAGATGGCCACTCCAACTCCCTGCGTGCACACTGGCAGTCTCACTGCCGCCTCTCACCTCGGCCCTGTGGTAGCGTGGGCTGTTACCCACCAGCGTGGCAACCAGGGGAACAATCTGCAGAGAAACATGGGAGAAGGGCTGTGACTGTGGTTCTGCAGCCAGGCTGGCCGCAGCCACTCACTTGGGAGGACACTGTGCCAGGAAGATGCGTAAAATGGGGGCCAAGCAGGGGACAGGGCGCCCTGGGTAAGCTGGAAATTAAGATCGCTTTGGACCAGCCAGCATCACCTCCTCACACTGAGGCCCCTCTGTGGGGCTGAGAGATTGGCACGCTGCCCTCAGCTGCCAGCAGCAGGGAGCAGGGCTAGGCACGGGGCAGCTGGTCTGTTACCTTCTTGACGTTGCCATCGTGCTGGCAGTCAGTGAAGACAACGTGCGAACATCCCTGCTGCTTCAGCTGCTCCAAGACTGTCTGAAGGGGAAAGGCAACGGCATTGCTGGCACCTGAGTGCCTGGGGCGACCTGCAGCCCCCCAGCCAGCCCCGCCCTGGCGCTCACCGGCTGCTGGTGGGGATCTGCCAGGTCCATCTTGTTCAGCACCAGGATGTGTGGGCGGATGCCCAGCACCTCCTGCAGCATGGGGTTACGGCCTGACAGTGGGATGTGAGCACTGCTAAGGAGAGTGACTGTGTGCTGGCGTGGGAGCAGGTACCGGGGGGACCAGTTGGGGCGCGGGTGATTACGGGGCTGGGGCAGACCTGGAGAGGGGTACGGGGCTGGGTGACGGGGCAACTGGGGCACGCAGTGCGGAGGACCGGTGCAGGGGGCGAGATCCCGGGGTGCTGGCTCCTGCTGCCCCGGGGGACACCTGGGAGGGGATGAAGAGCCG